AAAAAATATTTAAATACAATACAACCTTAATTAATTAACTTTAGATAAATAGTTTATCGTTTCTTATCTTTATCTTAATGTAGGTAATAATCTGTTGTAACTTKTATGTATATATTTTGTGTCTACACGTGTCAACAATAATTTCATAATTTCGTAACATAATACACATTTAGGTAGGTATTTTAATTTTTTTTTAGAATGAATGTGGAAAAAGTGTTGAAAAAATGACTTAAAAACCACAAAATGCACTAGAAAAATTTCAAAAAATGCTCTAAAAATGCATCAAAGTCTTAAAAATGCAAAATAAAAGTTACATTTTTTAATTCTTTGGTGTATGAAATTAACTTTTTGCTTGGAAACCAATGTTTTCGGACATTCAGAAAAAAATGCAATTTCTAAATGTATTTTAGTATAGAGCAAGTAATTATGACTCATTTAAAAACAATTTAGTAACCTTAATATTTTATTAGTAGTTTTGGGGAATTGGGATAGTATGTGAATCAATATTAAATACTTTAATAGAAGTAGTTATCTTAATAAAAACRATTGTAATCTAATGTCTTAATATCATCAATTGTAATTTTGTACTGGATAGCTGGTAACTAATGGAGTGGAGAGATGTACACAATAGGGATATAAGGTGTTTACACTTTTTTTTTTTAAATTCGACTTTATTTTGAAAAAGTACAATATAAATTTTGTACAATAAGTAATATTAATAATATACAAATAGTTGACAAATTGATATACATATAAGGAAGAAATCACACATTTGTGACACATCTTGATATTTTTTAAACGCGGCACAAGTTCCTTTTTGAGGCATCTAATTGAATTACCGGGAAATGTTAGTAAAGCTTATTTGCTGATYAGTTTGTTAGAATTATCCTATYAGCATAAAGTGGAAAAATAGAAGATTGCAGCTGTTTATTTTTTATGAACRATGATTTTAGGTTGAAATTTAAAAAAAAACTCGGGTGTACCAGTGATTAGACGTTTATTGATGTTTTGGTAAGCTTGTGCAGTTCTTTTATTTGAATTTTTGCATAGCTCTAGATTATGATGCCATATGTTCATATTRGTTGAAGAAGAGATTTGTATAGAACGATTTTGATATTTATTAGTTAGATATGTTAATTAAATGGAGTGGCCTTACAAATGGAGTCTGGTATTTACCTTCTTACACTTGTCTTTAAGGTGAAGAAACTATATATAGCGCCAGTATAATACTCACAAATTTTACCTCTCCTAATTTAGTGTTATTGTTTTCTATTCATACTAATACATCATCATAACTGATTTATGTTTTAGAATTCATCAAGTAATTCAAGCTCATTGAATCAAGGTATTTAAAATATAATATAATTACATTTTATGAGATTTATATTATTGACATAACATTTTTTTTGCACTAAGATATTGAACAATTACAAAGTCTTATGGTACAGTTAGAAGCTCGTGTTGCATCATTGGAAACCAAAAAAGCAGCACAGTCTCCTAAACCGGAAGAAAAAGAAACACCTAAAAAAAATGACAAGGAAGATGATGATGTTGATTTGTTTGGATCAGAATCTGAAGTAAATATTTTTACATTAATTATTTTAAAGACTTATTTTTCGATTTTACGTGTTAATTATATTCAGGTTGTAAAATAATATTGTCTGGAATGTTTTGTGATTTAGTCTGATTTTGAAATCATATATTTATTTAAATTAATAGTTTAAGTTTCATAAAAACTTRATTTGAAGATTTTTTATATTGTTTGAAAAAAGTTATAATAGGATTCCTTTTCAAAAATTCTTTCAAATTCAATTATATAGCTTTTGAAATTCACTAACAGGTAGACAAAATTATGATACTTATATAAAATAAATTAGCTTAATTTACTATAGTGTTCTATTCTATTCTAAAAGTCTGATTTTTGGGAAAAAGTTATTTCAAAAAAATCCTCT